CTTGTTTATACTTTCTTTGATATTGCTGAACATGTATGGAAGTTTGCTTCATGGCAGCAAATGTTTAACACTTATGGTACGTGTTGTAAATCCTGAACATGCTTTTTGTTAAAATTATTTTTTTATTTATCTTTTTTTTTTTATTTCGAAAACGATCTGTGATGTAGTCCGAAAGGGTATTTTTAATTATATATCTTTTATAAAGGATTTTTAAATAAAACTCTTGTATGATAATTAACTACCCTTGTTTTTAATTCCGAACAACTTTTCAGAATAACAAATTTCGATATTGTGAAATATATATAATAAAGATACTTTACTCTTGAGAAAAATTCATATTGTTTAATATAACTTATCTAAGATTCAAAAAATTTTATATTTGATGATTGCATCTTTGCTATGCATCAAAATATTTGATGATTTTAGACTATACAGAACTTTTTACGAGGAATAACTTTTTTCCATATAAATAATATATCATAAAAAAGTTTCCGCATCCGGTAAGTGCTGGATAGATTGAGTAGCTCAGTAAATGCCGGTGCCGGTCCCAAGCTCGGATAAAGGAGGAGGGTTGAGGCGATGGGCTAGCAACTCATCCCTTGTCATAACAAATAAATGCTAAAAATTTCGACCAAAAGCCTCGGAATACAAAGGAAGGATCAAAATAAAGACGACTAATGCAACGGAAAAGGAAAATGATATTGGCTACATGGAATGTACAAGGACTTAAATCTAAACAAGCAGAAGTATTTAAAGAATTAGCGGAAAGAAAAATAGATATATGTATTCTGACCGAGACCAAGAAAAAGGGAAAAGGAAATGAAGAGATATAGAGAGGAGAATATATACATATCTATAATGGAGTCAGTAAAGATAACAGAGCTAAGAGAGGAGTCTCTATTGCCATTCGAAAAAATCTTAAAAACATTATTAAATCGTGGACTGAAGTAAATGAACAACTGCTGATACTGGAAATTAAAAAGAATGGGCACAACATCGTAATTGTCGGAGTGTATGCCCCAAATGAAGATTCTTTGAAATTAAAAAAAACTGTGAAATCTTTATATTAGGAGATTTAAATGGCAGAGTAGGGAGAGAAGAAAATAACAGAGTCGTAGGAAGATATGGGGAACAAATAACCAATGACAACGGAATGCGTCTTAGAGATTTTTGTGAAACAATGTCTCTCAAAATTATGAATGGATTTTTTTCAACGTAGAGACATACACAAATTTACATGGATACAACCTATTAGGAATCTGCGCTCGATAATCGACTATGTAATCCAACGTCAAACTTCTCAACTGAAAACAACTGATGTAAGGGTATACCGTGGATCAGAATGAGAAAGCTTAAAAGAAGATTCAACGAAATTTCTTTACAAATTACGACTGGCCACAAAATTACAAAATGTGCATCGAGAAAATATATCAGCGGAAGAATTATACCAGCAACTTAAAAAATGCATTCATGAGGCTGCAAGTGAAGCTTTGGGGTATAAAGACAAACATGAAACAAAAAATCAAGAATGGTGGTCGGAGAATATGCAAACTTTGGTCAACAAGAAGAAAACTGCTTATCAGAAATGGATGTCAACGAGAAAAGGATGAAGATTACAAGATATATCAAAAATTAAATCGAGATGTAAAAAGAGAAGTAGTGAAAAGTAAAAATGAGATGTGGGATCGAATATGTGCAGAGGTGGACAGGTATATGGGTGGAACAAGAGTTGGGCAAGCTTGGAAGGTGATAAAGTCTCTCCGGAGGGAAGGAAAGGAAAAATCTAACTTACAGTTAATAGATCTGAAACAGTGAAAACACCATTATGAGGTCTTACTGACAGAGGATAAATGTAAATTCCAAGAGATTGAAATGGAAGAAATATCCGAACACACACAAATAAGTGGGATAACAACCGAAGAGTTAAACGATGCCCCCAAAAGATCGAAAAACGGTAAAGCAACAGGACCTGGAGACATCCCAATTGAGTTGATAAAGTATGGACCAAAAATATTCTGTTATCAGCTCAATGTGGAGGTTGTATGGTCGAATAATAATAAAAAAAGAATAGAATCAGAATACGAAGACATAGAAGAACAAAATGGATTTCGTGCAGGAAGATCGTGCACTGATGGTATATTCGTTCTGCAGCAGGTAACCGAAAAAAGGAAGGCAAGGAATCTATCTACCCACCTATTGTTTGTAGATTTGGAGAAGGCATACGATACGGTACTTTTGAAAAAACTGTTTCAAACATTGACGAAGTAGGTCTTAGTAGAGAGTATGTGGATGCTATCGCAAATATATACAAAAATGCGAAAAGTGTCGTTAAAGAAGGAAACTTTATATCTGAATCATTTCCAATAACAAAGGTGCATAAACAAGGATGTCGTCTATCTCCGACTTAAAATATATATTCAATAATCGCTAGAGCAGTGGAGGAAACAAGTAACGGAATGGGAATAGACATAGGCGATGGTAAATGTCTAACAACTTTATTTTTCGCAGATGATCAGGTAGTCGTAGCGAATGATGAGGAAGACATGGACTATATGTTTAGAAAACTAAAGAAAGAATATGAAAAATGGTTCCTCAATATGAATATGTCAAAGACAGATTATCTTAAAATAGGAGATGATGAAGAAGATCCAGAATTAGAAATTAGAAACACAAAAACATGCAAGGAATATAAAGATCTCGGATCTATAATATCTAAAGAAAGCACTACCAAAAGAAACATCGAAAAAAAGCGGTTAACATTCTAAACTCTCTACTATGGTCTAAAGATATTAAACAAGAAACGAAATTGACAATCTATCGAACCTTGGTAGAGCCTATTATGACTTATGGGGCAGAAGTTTGGCAGATCGCGAAAAAAAGATAGAAAAAGAATAGAACTAGTAGAAATGGATTTTCTAAGGAAAAATCTAACTTACAGTTAATAGATCTGAAACAGTGAAAACACCATTATGAGGTCTTACTGACAGAGGATAAATGTAAATTCCAAGAGATTGAAATGGAAGAAATATCCGAACACACACAAATAAGTGGGATAACAACCGAAGAGTTAAACGATGCCCCCAAAAGATCGAAAAACGGTAAAGCAACAGGACCTGGAGACATCCCAATTGAGTTGATAAGTATGGACCAAAAATATTCTGTTATCAGCTCAATGTGGAGGTTGTATGGTCGAATAATAATAAAAAAAGAATAGAATCAGAATACGAAGACATAGAAGAACAAAATGGATTTCGTGCAGGAAGATCGTGCACTGATGGTATATCGTTCTGCAGCAGGTAAACGAAAAAAGGAAGGCAAGGAATCTATCTACCCACCTTTGTTTGTAGATTTGGAGAAGGCATTACGATACGGTACTTTTGAAAAAACTGTTTCAAACATTGACGAAGTAGGTTCTTAGTAGAGAGTATGTGGATGCTATCGCAAATATATACAAAAATGCGAAAAGTGTCGTTAAAGGTGTGGTGTATCCAAAAAAGATGATATCAGGAATGAAGATATTAGAAGGAGGACAAATACTGTATATTCCAGTGTAGTACAGAATTGGAACGAGACAACTAGTGTGGTATGGTCACGTGAAGCGAATGAATGAAGATATATGGCCAAAGAAAGCTTTAAATTACATACCACAACAAAGAACAAGAAGGGGAAGTTTCCCATATGTTACTAACTTAAGTAACTTAAGTAACCATACATACATAGATACTTCATAAGTCAGAACAAATAAAAGTTATCAAGAAGTGTACGTCATGAAGAAGTGATTTGTAATATTTTCTAATGTAAGGGAAAATTAATTTCAGACCAGGGCCTACAACCTCGTATAGTTTTATTTTAACTGAATAACTTGCAAGTGGCACAAAAACTCGTGCCTTTAATTTACTTTTTTGTCTAAAGAGAAGACCATATACGTTATTTCAGCAAAGAACATTTCTAACGAAAAATAATTTTACATGCGGACTCAGAATAATTAACTTATGAAAAATTTGCCAAGCATATCAGTAACTAAATTCTAAACTGCATTTAAACCCAAATAAAGAAATCTTCACACTGCAAATTTACAAAAGTTTACATTACAACATATAATGAAGCAAAAAGAGACATTCGAACACAAAAAGACGCGCATATGACTAAAGGGCAATGAATTCAAAAAGCATTAATTTGAAATTTTTAGAGACACAAATAAGTTGTTGACTCAATAAAATTGAATAAACAATTAAAAATGGACCTTTACATATTTTATATAAAAAAGTATATTCATTTCATATTTTTATTTTCAAAAAGACCTGGTTGTTATTTTTATAGATTTTATAGATAAACTCACGCGGGATTTGTATGTAAATGTATTTAAATACATTTCCCAATATGAAAAACAATTTCCCCTTATTAAATAATTCATAATTCACCCATAGTGATCTTATTGAAATAGTTCACTTGAGAAAATGCTTTGCCACCAAAACTGCTGTTGTTAGTTAAAAAATTAGTTTTGATATTACTGTATAAATCTAAACTTGAATGTAGCCTAAATCAACCAAATGATTAAGAATAAACAATTTTAAATATACCAATCGTTAAACGATACCAAAAATTTTGTAGTTTTTCTAGAAATGCAAAAACCCATTATTAAAAACAATTTACATTTGTTGACTAAGGTCTGGAACGTGCATAATAAACTAGCGGACTTTCCAAACGTAACGTTAGTTATTAGAATTTCTCGGAAAATATACAGCGAGTCCCAGTTAAAAAAGTTCTATGAATGGATCGTCCACCAAAAATATTATTACGTCACATTACCCAGATTCTCAATGCTAAATGTCAAACCCACCAGAAATTCGTAGAAGCGACGAAATGTAAGCAAATTCTTAAAAAATTTCAAACCTTTCCGGTTCAAACACTGACAGCATGCATCGCCTGACTTTCACATGTTGTTCATTGATGAATCACTGGTAAATACGTAGTAGCAAGAAAAAAATTTAAACAATTACCGTAAAAAAAGATGAAACGAGACCTCCTGGCGCGATTTATTCAAAAAGTACACGAGGTTTGGAATGCAGCATGATGCGCTAGTTAGCCCTTATTTGCGCACTGAATTTAAACCGCACTACTCAACCGTCGGTCGTGAAAAACTCGCGCTTGAACGCAATCCGAATGGAAGTGTAGATTAAACTGCGGTTAGCAACGACTTTCGATAGACTGTGATGTGTAAATCATACAAACATTTAAACAAAGAAAGAGAAACGCACGCGCGACTGTAGAGACAGGTTTCCACTCGTATAAACAGAGGGAATAAGGCTCACTATTGTTTTTAATGGTGTGAGAAAGGATTTTCAACTTAACGCGAAGTATACTTTCTGGAAGAAGGCGGGTTTTGGGCGGGATCTCGATCTTGGATATGCCGAGGTACTGGCTTACTGTCAACTCTATTATTTTGTAAATAATAAAGATAAGAACCAATATTTTGATAGGGAGGTGTTAAACCAAAAATTATTATATTCGGGACAGTTTTACCATCAATTACTTTTATATTAATCCCGAGAAAGTTTCTTAAGAAATATTTATTGATACATCAAGTGATTTTCACATATAGATACCAGAAAAAAAAAGAAAACAGTTACAAAAATGGGGTTATTTTCCAATGAAACATAGATTTTTAGTTTATTTAGTAGATACTTTCTGTGATACCTTTTAAATGTTGTAAAATGTTTTTTCTTTTCTTAGATAATCATTAATTTTTTTTTGATACGTCAAATTGGCCTATTTTTTTTTAATTGGAAAAATTTAGGCTAATTTATTACGTGTTGTTTGTTTAGCATAATCCGTTACCTACCTATACAGTGTGTTTCAAAAAGGTATGTCATAAATTAAATCACGCATTCGGGGGACAAAAATAAATTGATTGAATCCAACTTACCTTAGTACAAAAGTCTACACAAAAAAGCTACAGCCCTTTGAAGTTACAAAATAAAACTTGATTTTTTGCATTATTTCCTAAACTACTTGACATTTTGTAATAAAACTGGACACGTTACTTTCTTGTTATGAAAGCATTTTTCATACAAAAAAAAAACAACAAAATCTAAGCGCGCAGAAAAAATTTTAAGGGGGGGTGGGCAGCACTAAATCCCCCCAAACTTTTGAGTACGTTCAAATCAAATGAATGTTGTGACATTAGTTTGACACATTATTTTTAAAACTTTTTGCCTCATCACTTTTTCGGAAAAACTAGTTTTTCCTAGTAGGCCATAAAATTACAATTCTTTTCAACGGATACAATAATTACAAACAGTTCTATCGATAATGGTCAATAATTTGAAGCTATCATTTATTGTGTGAATAAGATTAATATTAAAAATTTTGATATTACAATGGCCTACACATTTCAATGGCAGATATGCATTTACCTTGGGGTAAGCTGGATCAGATTAAATTATGATTTCAATAAACTATCTGGAATATCGTAGGTGAATGTCAAGGAAATAGTGCAGCAGCTGCAAGGCGTTATGCAGTAAAATACCCCAATCGAAATACACCCGATAGACGATTATTTCTGACCATTGATCGTCGTTTACAGGAAACGGGTACATTCCAACCGCAAGTTACTAGCAATAGTGGTCGTCCAATAATGGATTCAACTGATGAAGACATTTTAGAAATCAATAAGTCCCTGGAACAAGTAGAAGTGTAATAACTTCTTAACTAAATGTTCCTCACGTAAGGGTTTGGAGGCATTTGAAAGATCAGTTGCTTAAACCTTGAAAGCCGGTGTTATTCCATTCTTTTTTATGTGTTTGGCTATTTTTGTTGATATTTTGCCTGTATATGTAATCGAGCAGTAACTTCTGCTGTAGCTTAGGTTGTAGCTGTGTATTAATAAAATCAACACATTCCAGAAGGCAATGCTCAATATAGGGAAAAGTTGGGGAATGATCCGCGGTGGGCAATCGTGCACTGCATTGTAGTTATTTCAAATTCCGTGAAAGATTTTACAATCTTAACTAGTCCTATACATTTTGGCCGTTCTCATGATCGGTTAACGCCGTTATCTTCAGTCGACCGTTGCGCGTGGACTAAGTGAGATCCAATTATTGAAAAATGTAAGAATTCTTCTAGTTTTTTTGCTTCAAATATTAAGACGGTAAGCGCATATACTTTATTCAGTGGCTTTGACCTTATTATTGATTTAAATCATGTTGTTTTCCGTACATTTTGGTGCATCTTTGGTTTACTAATATGGTTCAATAATTTTCCGTTTGTGATGACGTTTGCTATTTAAAGCGTAAAGGGGTAATAGTGTGCAGGTTTGTGCACGATTTCCCCTTCAAACAATGAAATATTAAATAATACAATTACCATCTTTATTTCCAGATGCCACGAAACTATACTAGACGAAGAAGACACGAAGACTTATATATACTAATGAAGACATATACTACAAAATGCTCTGTATATAATCAGAAATGATGGTAAAAAATAAGGAAAACGGTTTAGGTCGCACAGCTGTATTTTCAGATAAAGTAGAAAAATATTTAAGACAGTATGGATTAACGCTTGCTAAATTATTCTATGGCTTAACACCTAAAGACTTAGACGACTGGTATTCAGGTATGCTGAAGAAAATAATATTCCAAATAATTTTAATAAAGAGAAGAAGTTAGCCGGCAAAAATTGGCTTTATGTGTTTATAAAAAGGGAATCCTGATGTAATATTAAGCCAACCAGAAGGAACAAGTTTGAACAGGATTGTATTGACATTCAATAAAGAGTCAACAACACTCTTTTATTCTAATATCAAAATACTCATGGACCATTTAAGTTTGAGCCAAAAAAAAAAATTTAAGATAGACGAAATTGACATTACAAGAGTCCAAAAGAAATGTTCAAAGGTTTATGGACCTAAAGGAGCTAAAAAGATATGATCTGCTATTTTCTGCATGAGTGCAGAATATAGCAGGATATAAACATCAGGGGATAGAAAAACACGGGAGAATATGAGGAAAAATGATATTCTCCCCGTTTTTATCTATCCCCGGAAAAGAATGTCTGTTACACTTGAGAAAAATGGATCTCTTGGTGCTTTACATAAATGTGCCACAAACGGATGGATCAATACAGAACTTTTTATATACACAGAATACATGAGTGACTGTGCCATTTTGTGAGACATGCAAAGCCCACAACAACTGATCCCATCTTTTTAGTTGCTAGATAACCCCTCCAGCCATATTTCTGTTAATGCACGAAATTTTTGCAAACAAAAAAACATTCATATGCTGTCACTGTCACCACACACCTTAGATCATCTTCAGTCTTCAGACTTGACTTTCTTTGGTCCTTTAAATAACGAGCATTATAGAGAATATGATCTTTACCTATCTAATACAAGCCATCAAAAAATAACTGGAAGTGACGATGCTGAGCTGTTACATAAAGCATTTATGAAAGTTGCCACTATGGATAAAGGCAGTGACAGGTTTTTGTGAATCTATAATATGTCCGTTTAATCCCGATAAATGAGGATGATTTTGCTCCAACATAACAAAGAAAATTAGAATGGAAGCCGCTTCTAGACCAGGGGCTTCTATAACGTCCCCAAACAAAATGCATGTACTAATAACTTCAGCTTTCTACTTCTAAGAAAAATTCCTTTTTCGTTTTTGCTCCAATAACAGAGAAAACGATCGAATCAGAAATTAAAATAAAATCTCGTAACAAGCAACAATCGGACATTCTTACAAGCACACCAAAGAAGACAAAACTGAAGGAAGCCCACTACATAAGACGATTACCTAAAGGAGGCGATTTCAAAATAAAGGAGGAACAAAAAGCAATAAGACAGGTAACAAACAAAAAAGAAGAGAGTGCAGACAGAGCTAACACCTTAGTCGTCTGATGTAACAGACAGTGATTTGTCAGATATTATATACGAAGACGAATTAGAGGATGTTGAATTAAGCTTCATTCCACCACCAAAAAACAAAGAATTTTGGTACACATGTATGTAGTAATAGGTATCTTTTAGTGGCTAGAAACCGAAAGATCAGATTAACCGCTGGCGTACCGCAAGGCTCCGTATTAGGCCCGACGTTATGGAATGTACTATATAATGGGGTACTAGACATCGATTACGGTAGAAATAGCATGGCAATAGCCTATGCCGACGACCTAGCTATATTAGTAATAAGTGACATGTATTGGGAAATCATAGACACTGTAAATGACTGCTTTAGTAAAGTAAATAAGTGGATGACGAATGACCTGGAACTTACAGGCAACAAGACCGAAGCGGTCACCCTGAAAGCTCCAAGAGTCGGGCCAGATTTGATATTCCAACTAGGTAGTAATGAGCTAAAATCAACGAACTGTGCTAAATATCTAGGCATTGATTTAGAGAGAGGCTTACGCTTCGCGAAACATATTTCGAGAGTGGTTAAGAAGGCTTAACAAGAGAAGGTTGTACCTACACGTTGCACAATCGACCCTCCTATATGGAACCTCCGTCTGGATAGATGTACATCTATGATATCAAAAGTACAACGATGTGATCAATAAAGCACAGAGGAAACCCCTTCTCAAAGTTACAAGTGCGTACCGAACGATTTCTACCCTGGCCCTACAGACAATCGTTGGTACGCTCCCTATTCACCTCTTAGCCAAAGAACGACATATGTTATATGTTAACCGAAACGGTCACTTAAGCTGCCGTACGAGAACAACTACTAGCAGAATGGAAGAGGAAATAGGAGGCATAGTCTACAAAAGTTTAATGGACCAAACCGATAATCCCTGATGTAGTGGCTTGGTACAACTGTAAGTTTAAACGAGTGAATTATTATTTTACACATTTCTGACCGGACATGGCTCTTTTAGATCTTACACATACGCTATCAAGAAAACCATATGCCTTACATGCGGCGAAAGGGACAATGCTGAGTATTGTATCGTGTAATGTTTTCGCCCACGAACAAAAGATCATGAAAAGAAAGACCATACTTGAAAGTGGTGAACAAGCCGGGAGAGGGAGTTTTTCTCGCACTACGCAAAGGGATACCTATAAATAAATTTATCTTTATCTTACTTTTTTCTGCTTTAAATATATCTATAGCAGGTAGACTTGTTATCAACAAACAACCTTTTTTCCTAATTATCTTCGACTTTGCCTAAATATACCTAGAGCAGCTACACC